GGAATCCCAGGACAATGGGAAGCCTGGGACACCTGGATCAGGAATCCCAGAGGATCGGGAATCCTGGGAGAACGGGAATGTTACGGGAGTGGGAATCTGGGGGGATCCCAGAGGACTGGGAATTCCGGAGGATTGGGAATCCCAGGAGAGTGGGAATGTCAGGAGAGCTGGGAAACCCAGGAGAGTGGGGATCCTGGGGATCGGGAATTCCAGGGATCAGGGTCCCAGCAGATCCGGGGTCCCTGCGGAGCCTCCCCGGGGGGCGGAGCCGAGGGCGGGGCCGGCCCCCGCTGGAATTGGGGAAGGAAAAGGTCCCGGCCCCTCCCCCACCCCACCCCCACCCCTTCCCCTGTTCCTCTTTCCTTCCCGATCCCGATCTCAATCCCCGTCCTGATCCCAAACCCGATCTTAATCCCAATCCTGATCCCACTCCTGATCCCAATCCCAATCTCCATCCCGTGCCCATTCCTGATCCCATTCCCGATGCTGTTCCTGTTCCTGTTCTCGATCCTGTTCCCATTCCTGTTCCTGTCCCCATTCCCATTCCCGTTCCCATTCCCATTCCCGTTCCCATTCCCGATCCCGTTCGATGGGCTGGGCCCGCACTGATCCCATGTGGAGGCGGCGCTGGCGCTCCCAGCCCGGGGCTCGCTCGGCTCCTTCCTCCTCCTCCGTTCGGGGTAAGGGATCGGGGACCCCCGGGGCCAGGGCGGGATCCCTGTGCAGAGCTTTCCACCCCATTCCCGCTGTTCCCATTCCCGCTGTTCCCATTCCCATCCCATTCCTGCCCATCCCCCATCCCATTCCTGTCCCATTCCTGCTGTTCCCATTCCTGCTGTTCCCATTCCTGCTGTTCCCATTCCCATCCCATTCCTGCCCCATCCCGCGTCCCATTCCTGTCCCATTCCTGCCCCATTCCTGCTGTTCCCATTCCTGCTGTTCCCATTCCTGCTGTTCCCATTCCTGCTGTTCCCATTCCCATCCCATTCCTGCTCCATTCCCGCTGTTCTCATTCCCTCTGTTCCCATCCCCGCCCCATTCCTGCCCCATTCCCTTCCCATTCCCCCCACTCCTGTTCCCATTTCCCACCTGGCTCGCAGGGAGCTCCAGACTCTGTACCCACAGTTTTTGGGTTTTCTTGGGATTGGGTTTTTTGGGATTGGGGTCCCACACATCCTCTCCCAGCGGCTCTGTCGGGCTCATCCCGCTGACGGCCCCACAGGGAAAAGCGGGATCCGCCTGTTCCTGCTGCTGTGGAGCCACAGCCCCAAAACCACCCCAAATCCCCGTTTGGGGTTCTGCTGCCATTTGGGGTTGCTGTGGGTTTGGAGTCACTGTGGATTTGGAGTTCTGGTGCCATTTGTGATCACTGGATTTGGGGTTCCATTGCCATTTGGGGTTGCTGTGGATTCGTGGTTCCGGTGTCATTTGGGGTCGGTTCTGATGCCATTTGGGGTTGCTGTGGGTTTGGGGATCCGAGGCCATTCGGGGTCAATTCTAGTGCCATTTGGGGTTCCAGTGCCATTTGGGGTCGGTTCCGGTGCCATTTGGGGTTGCTGTGAGTTTGGAGTTCTGGTGCCATTTGGGATCACTGGATTTGGAGTTTCAGTACTGTTTGGGATCACTGGGTTTGGGGTTCCGGTGCCATTTGGGGTCATTATGGATTTGGGGTTCTGGTGCCATTTGGAGTTACTGTTGCTTTGGGGTTTTGATGTCATTTGGGGTTGCAGTGGGTTTGGGATAGCTGTATTTGGGGTCGGTCCTGGTGCCATTTGGGGTCCCAGTTCCATTTGGGGTCGGTCCTGGTTCATTTGGGGTCCCGGTTCATTTGGGGTCCCGGTTCCATTTGGGGTCAGTCCCGGTTCCATTTGGGGTCAGTCTTGGTTCCATTTGGGGTCGGTCCCAGTTCCATTTGGGGTCGGTCCCGGTGCCATTTGGGGTCAGTCCTGGTTCCANCGCTGTTCCCATTCCTATTCCCGCCCCATTCCCGCTGTTCCCATTTCTGCTGTTCCCATTCCCACCCCATTCCTGCCCCATTCCCTCTGTTCCCATTCTCGCCCCATTCCCGTCCCATTCCCGTCCCATTCCCACTGTTCCCATTCCCATTCATGCCCTATTCCCGCTGTTCCCATTCCCGCCCCATTCCCCGTTCCCATTCCTATTTCCTGCCTGGCTCGAAGGGAGCTCTGGGCTCCGTTCCCGCAGTTTTTGGGTTTTTTTGGGATTGGGTTTTTTGGGATCGGGGTCCCCCATGTCCCCTCCCCGTGGCGCTGTCGGGCTTATCCCGCTGACAGCCCCACAGGGATGTAGGATCCCGGGAAAAGCGGGATCCGCCTGTTCCCGCTGCTGTGGAGCCACAGCCCCAAAACCACCCCAAATCCCCGTTCGGGGTTCTGCTGCCGTTTGGAGTCGCTGTGGGTTTGGGGTCACTGTGGATTCAGGGTTCCAGTGTCATTTGGGGTTGGTTCTGGTGCTGTTTGGGGTCGCTGTGCATTCAGTGTTCTGGTGCCATTTGGGGTCACTGGGTTTGGGGATCCAAGGCCATTCGGGGTCAGTTCTGGTGCCATTTGGGGTCGCTGTAGATTTGGAGTTCCAGTACCATTTGGGATCACTAGATTTGGGGTTCTGGTACTGTTTGAGGTCACTGTGGATTTGGGGTCACTGGGTTTGGGGTTCCAGTTCCATTTGGGGTCAGTTCCAGTGCCATTCGGAGTTACTGTTGCTTTGGGGTTTTGGTGCCATTTGAGGTTGCAGTGGGTTTGGGATCGCTGTATTTGGGGTCAGTCCCGGTGCCATTGGGGGTCCCAGTTCCATTTGGGGTCCCGGTTCCATTTGTGGTTGGTCCCGGTTCCATTTGGGGTCCCGATTCCATTTGGGGTCAGTCCTGGTTCATTTGGGGTCAGTCCCAGTTCATTTGGGGTCAGTCCCGGTTCCATTTGGGGTCCTGGTTCATTTGGGGTCGGTCCCGCAGGGCTCTCTGACGAGGAGGATTCGGGGTTCCTGGAGGTCGCCGTGTCCGACACGAAGCACCCAGCCCCGGAGCTCGGCCCCGCACCCCCGGGACTCACCCCACAACAGGTTTGGGATTTGGGATCGAGGATTTGGGATCAGGATTGGGGATTGAGGATCCGGATTGGGGATTGAGGGTCGGGGATTTGGGATTTGGGATCAGGATTGGGGATTGGGGGTTGGGGATTCCAGGGATTTGGGATTGGAGTTCCCCAGGGATTTGGGATCAGGGTTCCCCAGAGATTTGGGATCAGGGTTCCCCAGGGATTTGGGATTGGGGTTCCCCAGGGATTTGGGATCAGGGATTGGGGATTTGGGATTGGGGTTCCCTAGGGATTGGGGTCACAGCTCCCCGGGGCCCCGTGACCGAGCAAGGCGGGAAATGCTGAGTCAGCAGGAACGGCATTGCTGTTTCCGGGGCCGGGGCTGCTTCCCCTTTTTGCCGGGATTTGGGATTGGGGGATCGGGGCTGACCCTACAGCCTGGGCTGCATTTCTCCTTTTTCCTGGGATTTGGGGTTTGTGGGGTCAGGGCTGTGCCCGCATTCCCCTGATCCCAGATTTGGGGTTTTTCTCTGTGGGGTCATGGCTGCGCTGTCCCGCAGGTGCTGCGCAGGCACATCCTGGGCTCCATCGTGCAGAGTGAGCGCAGTTACGTCGATTCCCTGAAGCGAATCCTGCAGGTGGGAACGGACCCTTCCCTAAATCCCTAAATACCTAAATCCATGAATGTCTAAATCCCTTCCCTTTCCTTTCCCTTTCCCTTTCCCTTTCCCTTTCCCTTTCCCTTTCCCTTTCCCTTTCCCTTTCCCTTTCCCGGGATTTGGGGTTGCCCCGAGCGGATCCCGGGATCCCAAGGGTTGGGAATTCTGTGTTCCCCCCTGGATTACTGCCGGGGTTTCCCATTCCCAGTTTCCCAATCCATGGGAATTCCCTGTTTCCCCCAGGATTCCCCAATTCCCCTTCCCGTTTCCTGAGTTCTGGAATTCCCTCTTTCCTGTGGGGTTTCTCATTCCCGGGATTTGGGGTGGCCCAGTGTGGATCCTGGCATTGCAAACTTTGGGATTTCCAGTTCCCCCCAGGATTACCGGACCCTGCTGCTGGGATTTCCCATTTCTGCTTTTCCCATCATTCCAAGATTTGGGATTTCCTATTCCCGGGACCTTTCCCAGTTTCCCAATCTATGGGATTTCCATTTTCCCCTCAAGATTACCGGACCCCACTGCTGGGATTTCCCCTTCCCATCATTCCAAGATTTGGGATTTCTGGTTTTCCCCAGGATTACTGTGCCCCGTTGCTGGGATTTCCCATTCCCATTCCCAGTTTCCCAGTTTATAGGATTTCCCAGTTTCCCAGTTTATAGGATTTCCATTCCCCCAGGATTACTATGCCCCACTGCTGGGATCCCATTCCAGTCTATAGGATTTCCCAGTTTCTAGGGTTTCCCAGTTTATATGGTTTCCCAGTTTATAGGATCCCCTTTTCCAGGATTACCGCACCCTGCTGCTGGGATCCCATTCCAGTTTATAGGATTTCCCAGTTTATAGGATTTCCCAGTTTCTAGGGTTTCCCAGTTTTTAGGGTTTCCCAGTTTATAGGATTTCCCAGTTTCTAGGGTTTCCCAGTTTCTAGGGTTTCCCAGTTTATAGGATTTCCGTTTCCCCAGGATTACCGCGCCCCGCTGCTGGCCATGCAGCCCAAGGTGCTGAGTGCCCGCAAGTGCCGTGTGGTGTTTTTCCGGCTGCGCGAGATCCTGCAGTGCCACTCCATGTTCCAGATCGCCCTGGCCTCGCGCGTGGCCGAGTGGGACACGGCCGAGACCATCGGGGACCTGTTCGTGGCCTCGGTGGGTACGGGAATGGGGTCTGGGGTGAGATGGGATCCTATAAATGGGGAATGGGGTGTGGGGTGTGATGGGATCCTATAAATTGGGAATGGGGTGTGGGGTGTGATGGGATCCTATAAACTGGGAACGGGGTGTGATGGGATCCTATAAAGAGGGAACGGGGTGTGGGGTGTGATGGGATCCTATAAACCGGGAATGGGGTCAGGATTGATAATGGGATCCCATAAACGGGGAACGGGGTGTGGGGTGTGATGGGATCCTATAAACCGGGAATGGGGTATGGGGGCAGAATGGGATCCTATAAACTGGGAACGGGGTGTGGGTGTGATGGGATCCTATAAACGGGGAATGGGGTCAGGATTGATAATGGGATCCCATAAATCGGGAATGGGGTGTGATGGGATCCTATAAATGGGGAATGGGGTGTGGAATGGGATGGGATCCTATAAATCGGGAACAGGGTCAGGATTGATAATGGGATCCCATAAAACCGGGAATGGGGTGTGGGGTGTGATGGATCCCATAAAACAGGGAATGGGGTCTGAACCCTCTGGTATCCCATAAAACTGGGAATGGGGTGTGGTTTGATTCTGGGATCCCATAAAACTGGGAATGGGGTCTGAACCCTGTTGGATCCCATAAACCAGGAACGGGGTCTGGATTGATCCTGGGATCCCAGCAGGGCTGGGTTTGGGATGGGAGTGATGGGATTCCCTCAACCCCCYTCATTGTCCCAATCCTGTTTTTGGGGTCCTTCACCCCATTCCTGCTCTCTCCACCCCTCCCTTACCCCAATCCCATTTTTGGGGTCCCTGACCCCATTCCCATGCCTCAATCTCGTTTTTAGGATCCCTGTCCCCGTTCCCGCTCTCTCCCAATCCCATTTTTGGGGTCAGGGACCCTGTTCCTGCACTCCAATCCCGGTTTCGGGGTCCCTGACCCCATTCTGCTCTCTCTCGTCCCCAGTTCTCCAATCCCGTTTTTAGGGTCCCTGACCCCGTTCCCGTGTCCCAATCCCATTTTTAGGATCCCTGACCCCGTTCCGCTATCCCAATCCCGTTTCTAGGATCCCTGACCCCATTTCCATACCCCAATCCCGTTTTTAGGATCCCTGACCCCGTTCCCTCTCTCCCGTCCCCAGTTCTCCAAGTCCATGGTTGTGGATGTTTACAGCGATTACGTCAATAACTTCAGCACGGCCATGGCGCTCATCAAACGCGCGTGCCTGACCAAACCCGCCTTCCTGGACTTCCTCAAGGTCAGAGACATCCCATAATACCACAATCCCATAATGCCCCAATCCCATCCACCTTCTTGGACTTCCTCAAGGTCAGAGCATCCCATAATAGTGTCATCCTCTAATACCCTGATCCTGTAATACACTGATCCCATAATACACTGACCCCACAATGCCCCAATCCCATCTGCCTTCCTGGACTTCCTCAAGGTCAGAGACATCCCATACTAGTGTCATCCTCTAATACACCGATCCCGTAACACACCGATCCCATAATGCCCCGTTCCCATAATGCCCTGATCCCATTCGCTTTCCTGAACTTCCTCAAGGTCAGAGGCATCCCATAGTACTGCAATCCTATAATGCCCTGATCCCATAATACCACAATCCCATAATACACTGATTCCACAATTCCCAATCCCATCTGCCTTCCTGGGGTTCCTCAAGGTCAGAGCCATCCCATAATACTACAATCCCATAATACCGTGATCCTGTAATACACTGATCCCATAACCCCCCCTCTCCCACAATGCCCCTATCCCATCCGCCTTTCTAGACTTCCTCAAGGTCAGAGCCATCCCGTAATAACCCAATCCCATAATGCCATGATCCTGTAATACTGTGATCCCATAATACCGCGATCCCATAATACACTGATCCCCCGATCCCACA